GCTATCAGGTTGGAGGCCTTCGCTCTTAGGTTGGAGGCCATCGCTATGAGGTTGGAGGCCATCGCTCTTAGGTTGGAGGCGATTGCTCTTAGGTTGGACGCCGTCGCTTTTAGGTTGGAGGCCATCGCTATGAGGTTGGAGGCCATCGCTCTTCGGTTAGGTCATCGCTATCAGGTTGGACGCCATCGCTCTTGGGTTGGAGGCCATCGCTATCAGGTTGGAGGCCATCGCCTTTAGGTTAGAGGCCATTGCTCTTGGGTTGGACGCCATCGCTCTTAGGTTGGAGGCCATCGCTACTAGGTTGGCTTGAGTAGCTAGTTGCTCTTTTTGGACCGTGCCTTTTCAGCTGCGATCCAGTGCTCTCGCCGAGGACATGCGTGCTGTAGGAAAAATCATTAAGCCTGAGCCCTGGCCGGCGTCCCAAACTGGTCGCGGCGTTAGCTTTGCTCAGTAAGAATAGCTATCCCTTACTGGCAAGCTACTTTCTTGAGCTCATAGATCACTTCCTCAAAATTCTACAAACAACAAGAACCTGGCCTCCAACAAGAACTTCTTCTTTTTGCCCAAACCTGGCTCGACGACTGGGTCACTCGGCCGTTCGAAGAGAGATGGCGTGACACGAAAGCCGAACTCCATGTGGCTGTGTGCGCCAATGGACCCAGTGTTTTGCAAAGTGCGAAATTGCATAACGGGCATATGGCAATATGGCATAGAGCTTTATACTCATCCACCAAGAAAAAGATTCTTGTTGAAATGTCTGTGGACAAGGCGATGAGTCAGTGTTTCAAGAATCCCTTCAAGTGTTTTCGGCCACAGTGCCTTTTGTTTCCACCCCAAATAGGAATTCCTCTGAATGTCTTTTGCTGGACACCTTCTGAAATAGGTTTTTGCCAACGATGCTTTTGTCTGCCCCAAGCCAGCCACGTACCCACTTGTAAGTCTCAAACAAATAACCCTGAGTTGTTAATCGCCGGAGAGATGTGAAGATATCCATTTGGGGTGCCATGTCCATGTGCTCTGCTCATAGGTCATGTGGCATGTGCCTCGGGGCAGAAGTGATCCAATTTTATCAGTAATTTCCTGCTGCTTGGCAGCTGCTTTGTCCGAAAAGTGATTCAATGAAACATGTGTCTTTGGTCCGTAAGGTTCTCCTAGTTCTGACAACTCACATGCAGGAAGAAGACGCACGAAAGGAACAGTGACTCGGAACAGGAGAACACCGTGAGAACGTTATGCTGATGCAACCGCATCTTAGACGGGTGATGTCATGTGCTCCGTGCCACGTTGCCGGAAGCTTTCATACGCCAGAGGGTGCGCTTGGAAACAGGTCACGTCCTACACTGTAGTGGCTGGGAAGTTGATGACAAGAGCTTGGTCGGCCAAACTTTGCACTAAGTTTTCCCAAAAATCTAGGAACCAAATCATTAGTGCGACCGTGAGCTATCCTGCGTCCATATGTAGTAGCATGATGCAGCATGTAGTAGCTTAAGTAGCTAGTAGCGAACAAGTTTGTCCCTTACTTAATTAAGTATGTAGTCTACTTAATTAAGTCGGAGCAGATTAAAAGCACAAAATAAGGTAACAGGGGTGAGTCGGCGACTGTGCTCACTGAAAACATGAATGACCTCGGTTGCGGGAGGTCGGTAGCTCAACCACTGGCTGCTCCAATGACTTCTTAGTTCGGATCCATGGCAGTTCTGATGCTTTTTCTTTCTGTCTACCTTTCTTTTCTTGCTTGAAGCTTCCTTTCCTTTCCACTCCCGTGTCACAGAAGGCCTCTGGAAGGTGCATGCCACGTAGCCGCAGTGATGGCACTTCAAGACTTGGATTGTGCTTTTGGAAACACTGAAGCAAAAGGGGGTAGGCTGATGTTGTTCAGCGTAGTTTCTTAGCGTCTTTTTCCGGCCACACTCTGCAGCGTTTTGGGGCTGCGTGACCATTCAGCAAGCGACCGAGGTCAGTTTGAGCTGGCAAGACTTTCCGCTGGACACGCTCTATGCCAGAGCATTGAGTGTCCCGGTCCTTGCACCCATATCTGAGTTGGCTGAAGGGAAGCTTGGCGCAACAAAGGCACTCCCCAAAACATGATTTGCAAGCTTTAACAAGCTTTACAGCTGATGTGCAAGACCCAAGTCCTTAAGGAAAAGGCGGGTTCAAGCGCCATGAGAAAGGAAGCTCCTCTACAATTACCCCACATGCTAATGACGTCTAAGACGGTTCTGGCTTTTGCTCGGGTCTTCCCGATTCCTCCTGCCGCCTCCCGCGCTCCTACCGTGCATACAAAAACACTCTCACAAAAACACCAACCTCACTTACATGAACTCACACACACTTATTGACATGCGTACTGATTCGGTTGCGGTTGCCACACGGCGGCCTAAGTGAACATCCTAAGGAACCAGGACAGGTGTCAGAAAGGGGAGGCCCTTGCTGCAAGGTTGGAGGCCAGCAAGGCTCAAAACACGAAACGCGAGTTGCGATTAGTAACAGAACCACATGAACCACCATGAAAACAAACCACAGCGAGAACAACAGGTAACCAGTTGGGCAGGTACGGTTACACGGGTCCCAGACTGTAGAATTTCACAGGTCAGGGTTTATAGCCAAAGTTTTGTTTGAAAAAGATTTATAAGTTTTTTGAAAAGACACCAAAAAACAAAACCTACAATCCCGCAGAAAGATACCAGCAAGGTGAATCCAGAAGTTTGGACTCAGGAAACATTGTACAAATACTAGGAACTTGCAGGAAAATGCAAACATACATACCAATCAAGCAAACCCTGGGCTCAACAAACTGCGCATGGCGCACGGCCATCTGTGAGTCTGTGTGAGCCAGCTTGTCTCTTTTTTCTCCTGTGACTAGCGACTTCTGCCTTCAGTCTATCATCAGCTCCGTGGCTTTGTTGGGTGACAAACGCTTCGCTCAAGCATCTTGCCCTACACCACGCAAACAACAAAGGTTTGAAAGGCAAGGCCTTTCACTTGGAGGCTGAAGTATTTTGCTTCTTGCCATTGCAAAACATCGGCAATCATTCCAAAAAAAACTATAGTTAAAAACAAGGAACCATAACTGGCAGCGCTGGCTACAAACAAGATTGTAATTCCAAAGCAAAAGCTAGTATATATTCCGATTCTAAAAAATAATTCAAAAAAGAACCATGCCTGGCAGCGCTGGCTACCAAAAAGTTATGATTCCAAAAAAAGTTATAGTTCCAAAAAAAAAGAACCATAACTCGCTGCACTGGCTACCAAAAAGTTATGATTCCAAAA